TTTCTTGAGAGGGAGAGAGGAAACACATATTCAGATTACATTCACGAAAAATATAAAACAAACTAAATTTAGCGAAATGGTATGAGTAAAACATAAGAGAAATGGTAAGAGAAAATCATTAAGAAGCCCGTTAACTTCTGCAAACAAGAAAAAAAGATTGGCAGAAAAAGAGGACCCTCAATTACAGAAAGAAATAGACATTTACCACTAGGATGAAAAGAATAGCTTTTCTTCTTTTTTTTGGCGTATTGATTGAGGATTTAGACACATGAGTTGGATAATGGTATTGCATGATACTGACATAATCAGCAATTATATCCATGTGTAGCAAGGGAGAGGGGGGTGAGAGAGAGAATGAGATGAGAGAGAAGCCACCAACCTCAACAAGAGATCCCTCCTTAATGTTATTTTCCTTCAGAGCTGGCAACTTTAGAGGCCTCTCAGCATCAGCACTCTTCATGGCAGAAGAAACAACTCTGGAATCAGATTGTAATTCAGGAGCAACCCTGAGAGTTTTAGACACATCCAAATTCTTACGTCGCCATTGCCCTCCAAACCCATTTTCAACAGTTGCTGCATTTTGATGCACCCCATTTCCTACCTCACCTTGTTTCTCAACTGCTTGCCCTGATAACTCTTCCCCAGAAGGTGCACTTCCTTCTTTATCTTGACCCAGTCCATCCTTACCAGAAACCTGCTCATTCAAAATTTCAGCGGAGCCACCACACTCTATTTGTAAATTAGCTGCTTTCTTAGTAAAATCCCCACTTGGGTTTTGTAACTTCCAATACCCATCAGGCCCAGCTTCAAACAATTCCCTCAATGTCAATGGAATCGGGTCTCCCATTGCAATAACAGCCCCTGCTTGTGACACAGCCTCAGCTGCTAGCTCTGCAGCCTTTACCACTGCATCCAAATTCTCTGCCCTCTTAGCAGCAGCAGAAGCTGCTTCCACCCTCTTCCTAGCCGCCTCTCGTGCAAGGGCAATAATTGAACTAGAAGTGCTTGCCTTCTTCCCCTTCGAATTCTTCTTACTTTCAGGCAATCCAATTTCAACATTACCTGTCTTATTAGCAGTCAAAGCTTCATCAGCCATGAGTTTTGCTTGGAGAGCAGCTTCACAAGCAACCTTTGCAGCTGCAGCTGCTGCCTTAGCAACTGAAGCTGCGGCAGCTGCTGCAACAGCTGCTGAAGCCACTTTCACTTCAGCATCTGAGACCAATGCCAAGCTTTTTTGGACACCCAATTGATTCCATATGCCTTGGCTATGCCTCACAGCTGAAGCAGCTTGAGCAGAAGCTTCTTCAGCCTGTTGCTTGGCTTGTTCAAGTCGAGTGCTCGTCTCTTCCGAAAGGGTAACCCTCTGCTCATTATTCCCTCCAGAGAGCACCTGAAAATTAGTTGGGAGTACAGGAGAACTTGTCGGAGCACAAGAAGCTTTAGAAACAGGGGGCTTGGTCGATACTATTGATGGAAGAGGTGGTGATGCCATAGCAAATGGTAACTGTTTGGTGACACTTGTATCAGCCCCCAACTCAGCAATAGAAACTTGAATGGGACTATCAGGGACCGAACCCTTCTTCTTCTTTCTGGACTTTGGTTCTTGGGGTGTATTCTTGAGTGAGTTTGCTGTTTTTCTTCGAGCTTCGCTTGAGATACTTGTAGTCGAAGTAACAAGAGCAGAAGCAGCAGTAGGTCCCAGTGGACTAGGTGGGGCAAGATGAACGGCTTGGGAGCGAGCCCCAGATGGCAAATCTCTAGGTGGTGTCATTTGTATGGATTCCACTGTTGGGTATTGCACAGCACAATCAACATTGCTTGTTTGTGAGGGTACAAGCCAAGAACCAGGAGATGGGGACTGTGTGGACCATGGAGAAGGGCTTCCAACAAAATGCCTTATGTGGGGAGATTGGTAGAGATGCATTGCTGGAATTGTTTGGATTGGGTCCATGTGTTGGGCCCTTGGCAAATTAGTAGCCTGAAGCCCTTCACGTGAAGGGGCAGAAATATTCCAAACTGGTGAAGACAAGGAAACTGAAGGGGTTAAAATAGAAGATGGGGGGCTGCTCTTGCTAGTGCTTCTTCCAGCTGGAGTTCCCAAGGCTTTATTCTGGAGGATAGGGGACCTCGACACGAGTTCATTAGGTCGAAACCCTTCGATGATACAATTCTTCAGATCAGTTCAAAGTTTATTTCTTTTTCTTTTTAAAACAATCCAAAGCTCAAACTATAGTTGCCAAAAGTACCAAAAGAAAAGGGACAGCAAACTACAACCCAAAGGACTATGGAAAACCATTGCCCTTTGGGGTCATCATCATCCAATAAAACAGCAGATGGTGCTGAAGAGTAGCCCTCATCACTGGGGTTCTGTCATGTCCTGAAGGGTACCACTCTATCCATTACTATCCATTTTTTTATCATGTGCCAATGCAGCATAAGCATATATCTTGCCCATTGTTGCATATGAATAGATCTTGACCATTGTTGCATGAAAGGATGAAAGAAAGAACTCTAATAGATTAAAATATGCTTTCCCTATATGAAATGGGAGCTCTAAGATGTCAAAGTTTGTATGGAGTGGCAGATTTCTTTTTGTTTTGAATTGTGGAGGACCCAAAAATGTCACAAGTTCAACAGGAAGAGGATAAGCACCAAAGGAATAATTAGGTGTATACTAACGAAAAAGCATATTTAGTGTGCTCAAGTCCAAACTCCAAAGTTATCCCAAACATAATATTCCACTCAAAATCTTGCTTACTCGTAACCTAATAAGATTAAAGATAGTGATATCATACCTGAACGAGCGCTGAGAGGGGTCTCAAGGTTATTAGAAGGTGACTTCTGATTTTGACACCTTTCTACAGCAGTGCGCCATACATTCTCCCATACACCCCTTCCACCATCTGATTCCTCAACAGCAAACACATTTCAACAAGATTAAACTTTCAGAGAGCAAAACCAAAAGAAAACAGAAAACTCAAATGAAAATTGAGCATGAAGGTTATTGGCTGGCCATTTTGGCATGTTCCATAGCAAAACAATATCAACTCTTTAGTGAGCAAACAGTCGAAAGAAGTACTTAAATAAATAGACAGAGATGTGTACAAACCACGTCCGGAGTCTGCAAAAGCAGATATCATACATGCCTCATCTGGTGCTAAGCCTTGACTAAAGCATAGACACACCAAAAAAAAAAAATATTAAGGCCCGCAAATCTAACAATGAACAACAACACAAAGAAGATCAAAATAATAAAGAACGACAAAAACAAACGGATTGATGAACATGACAAACTCCACTCACATGAGAGACCCATAAACAAAAATCTGTGCACGCAATTGTACTTGCTGGGAATCTGTGAATGGCTGCTGAAACAATGCTGATGCAGGAACAGCTAAAGCATTCAAATCCGGTAGATTAGATGCCTGGACAGTAGTAACACAGGATAGTTTTGTACTGCTACCTTCTAGAGAAGCATGCCGAGGCACCTCCTCAACTTGCACGCTTCTACTGAAAGCCTCACCCACTGATTTGGCAGGTGTACTTGGTGGGGCCTTCTTTAAGGTGGTGGTGCTCTTGACAGGTTGCCCTTCAGACTTCTCAATTTTGCTTCTAAGAGCTGATCCATCTACAGTGACATTTGATTCTTTACTAACTTTAGACCCCTTCTGCCCTTCTGATATTGGAAGCTTCCCACGAGAATTCCCATCCGAAACTTTGTGCTCGGTTTGGGATGGTAAAGGTGTTACCTGCGAAACTTTTTCAGTCTGATGCATATAACACCATCCAATCGGAAAAGGGAGAAAAAAAAGATCATAATATAAAGAAGTATTCCATGATTTTCTTATATTAATAACTAATAACATTTTCAAAATACAAATAAAAAAAGAAAACATCAGGACAGTAGTTGGAACACTTGCATCAACCACACAGGTGGTCCAGAAATTTGAAATGTCAAGGACAAGGACATTTTCAAAATACAAATAAAAAATGGAAAACATCAGGAAAGTTGTGGAACAACTGCATAAACCACATAGGTGGTCCAAAATTTTGAATATCAAAGTAGACAGGACCAGTCAATTTTTTCAGATGGCTGTTTTACCACTAATTTGCAGTAAAAAATACAGATAAATAGGCAAAAAGGAAATATGATTGAGAGTGAAATAGTTCCTTTTCATTTTTAATGGCTGGCCCAAGTATAAAGGTACGGCTTCATTAATAAGAATGAACTATGGTAGCAAAGGGGCAATACCTGATAAGAATCAACTGGTTGGACACTTGGAAAAGGTTTCCAGCCTTTACCATTTGTATCAGTCACAAATGAACCTGAAATACTCATGGGACTATTAGTCTCCCGTGAAGCCAATGAACCCAACTCGAATGTGAAACTTTTATCAGTTTCCAAGGCATCGTTTTCTCCTGCATTTTGCGAATTTAATTCATTTTTACTGCCCTGTCTATCAACACGATTTGAAACCCCGGGGGTATCCCCAGAGAGACGAGCATTCTGATCTAAATATTCCTTGTCACCTTCTTGGCACTCCATTTCACTATGACAAGGCTCATTGGAACTAATAACTATAGGGGAGCCGCAATCTCGTTCAAGAGAAGCCCCGATGTCTATACCATCTTCCAATTCCTTTGCTTCAGCGTTCATTGCATTATCAGGTTCAGAAGATCGTGCTTTGACATCAGTAGGCTTAACCCCTTCAACAATGGAAATGAAACAATTCAGGAATCATCATCATTCATCAATCATAGGACTGAAAATGAAAAATTTCCATGGGAAAACAGCAAAAGGCCACAAAAATAGCTGACCCATGATCATGGGGATCATTAATATGCAACACTATAATATAGTAGAATGCACTGCAGAACCATGGGCAATGGGATTATAGTACACCTCTCCAAAAGAATAGGAACTTGTCATGCAGTCTTATCAGATTGCTTTGGAGCCTATTTGAATTAGCCGTTTTGCTGATTTAAGGAAGCCTTCAGTTATTTTTAAAACTAAAATAATTCAAAAAATGTATAAATACAATCTTTAAAAATATTTCTCAAATTTAATGATATTCAAATAATATCAATTTTTTTGGAAATGTCACCTATATTTCCAAAATATAGATGTTTGCTTCACTCCACGGCAGTTTGGAGGTTAAAGCCATAGACTTTGGCCAATTCGACATACGAGAAGGAAATCACATAGCATCGCTCTTAAGCCCTAGAATCAGCACAATTCTCTATTGGATTACCTGCAGCCAGGACTAGGTTTGTCAGACCTGCTCCAGAAGAGCCTCCTGATTCAACCTGTAACTCACTTTGTGCTTCAACAACCGCAGAACAGGTGGCAGAAACCACATTACCCTCTGTGCTTGTACTAAGGATAGAAAAATTGCTGTATTTTGCCACTGTAGGGTTGGATTCATGTTTCTCATGTATGCCTTGGCCTTTATCACTCACTTCTGCACAAGTAGTTGCCTTCCCTGAAAGATGGGACATGTTAAACTTCCGTTCATCTAGAAAGACTCAACAAAGAGGATTACTATCAGTGGATCATCCCATGTTTCTCAAGGTAGCACAGTCCATTGAAGTGATCGACAATGATGGAAAGAGTGGGGCCCAAAAGAACAGGAAATCACAGCAGCGATGGGTCCTGCTCCTTCTCCATCATCATCTGTGATTTCAGAGGATGGTGATGACCCAATGGACTGTGGTTTTCCCAAGTATAATTGGAAAAAATTTCCTCAAATAAGAAATAAGGATCCAACATACACAAAATGAATTGCATAAACAAAACAAGAAGGAAAAGTAGTACCACAAAATAGAAGTAACTATTTTTTAACCACGTAACACAAATGATATTAGACTAGGGGATAATAATATTTTGGGAAATTAACAGAAACAACCTTTTTATTTTGGAAATTTAAAAATAGTTCCATATATTTTATATTTTTCACTTCAGTCTTTATAGTGGATATTGTATTTTAATTTTTTTCATTTTTCTATATATATGATTAAGCTCAAATTTTGGACATCTATCCTTCATGCCATAACGCACTTGGAAAATATTAAAAATATAATTCAGTTAAATATAAATGACCAAAATTCCCCTACAAACTTCAAAAATTTAGGGGTATTTTGGTTATTTTATTTATTGGAAAGGGAAATTTATCAAAATATCCCCAAGAGCCGAATTATTTAACATTTTACCCATTTCTAACTATTCCAAGTAATGATCATATGTCTTTTGATAGGTATTTTGAAATTAAATCAAAAGATATGGGTAGTACGTTAAATAGTTCATCTCTCATGGATATTTAGATAAATTTCCCTTATTTTAAAATATTTTTTTATTTTTCTATTTTTACAAATGTGAGAAGGTGATATACACCAACTCCCAAAATTTGAACCCAATCAGATGTGTAGAATATAAATAATATTAAAACGCAATATGCCCTCTTCAAAAATGGGACTTGAGAGTAAAGAATAAAATATAGTGGACTAGTTTCAAATTTTGAAAATAAAATGGGATTCTCTTCTCTTTTTTTTGGTAAACTTCCCTAATGCTTACTACCTAGAGGTTCTGGGGACGTTTCTTCATGAAGCCCCAAACTAGACTCTGCAGATATCCTTGGGCCATCTTTTTCTTCCACAATTTCAGCATTAATAACTGATGCCCCCTGTTTTTCTGATTCGTTTTCTTGTGTATCAGTGTTAGCTTCTGTACTCTTGAATTCACTTTGGCATTCAATAATAGATGAATTCTGTACAGGACATGAAAACTGAGCAGCCACTGAATCAGGTGGCTCGGTACCATCACAGTGCTGTATCTGCTGTCTCACATCATCGCCTTGCAAATTGGGAGGTCCTGGTATTGGAGAACTTTCTTGGGCTTTTCCATTTATTTCTTTCCCAACATTATGAGAGCGACTAGATCCCACCTCTTGCTTTTCCAACGGATCCTTATCTGAGATGTTGATTTTTTCAGGAACCATCAGCTGAACTTCCTCTGAGGTTTTATCAGTAGCTGAGTCCCTTGCAGTCTCTGATAAGCCACCAACGGCTCCTGAAGATTTGGAAATAAAACCATCTATAACTCTTCCCGATACTGTTGAAATGATATCAGTCTCCGACTTCTGTGAAATTAGGGGATTCGCCATTTCGATTTCACATTGGCCTGATCTCCCCTCATTGTAAGCTCTCCCACCATCATCATCAACCCCCTCAATTACTTTTGATGACATCAGTGCACTCCCCCTTTCCCGGACAACAGCATCCAAATGAGTAATACCCACAACAGCTCCAATTCCTACATCAGCTTCTCTTCTATCAAACATTTCTAAAGCTTTCTCATGCATGGAGTTTGATACATCCACTGCCACACCACTCAAGTCATGCATCTCAGATGACCTCAAAGAATGTCCTGTCACAATAGTTTCAGGTATATTTGGGATAAAATCAGCACCACTGATATTCTCTAAGCACTCACTTCTCATTTGCTCTCGCACCACTATATCATTTGAAGTGCTTGTATGACTATCGTTCAAGCACACGGGTACCTCCTCTTCTTGGGTCTTTTGTTTATTAGGAGAATCTGCTTTTGACACCAAACAAGAAGTTCCAGCACCATTAGCGCTATCAACACTATGAATTCCGGTGGGTTTTTCCCTCTGGTCATCTTTTGGTACATCATCCTTCTGTTGCTCTTTAGTTCCAATTTCACCATGAACATCTGTTAAATTTGGGTATAGACTATCTGGTTGAACATTCTTCACGGAACTCTCACCCACAGTTCTAACATTTTCAAAATGGTCACCATTTTTACAATCATATGTTGTACCCTCTCCTGTAGAAGTTTCATCCTTAAATTTTTCCTCATTACATGTTTCCATCAAACTTCCAAAATGAGCTGCATTTTCTAAAGTGTCTACCGCAATCATTTTTGGATGTTTCCCACCATCAGTGGGATCAGCATCCAAGACAACCCCGAGATTAGAGGGCGAGGAGTCATCACAGCTCAAAGTAGTATCCATTTTATTTTCTAAAATTCCAAGCTTATCACAGGCATCTGACTCGTCGACGATATGTGTTTTAGTGATTACCTCGTCTTGTTTAACAGAGTTCAATAGCATTTCAACAGATTCTGAGGATGTGGCCTCTGACCAAACATCGTTATGCCTGGAAATGGGGCAAGATTCAGCGGTGCCTGAACTAAACTCTATGCCTTGGGAAACAGGATCAAGAACAATGCCACTATTCCCCCTAGGAAAAGCCTCAATCCAATGATCCTCTGTCTGATTCTGAATACCAAGAAGAACACCAGCTTCCCCAAGACTATCAAATCTTACATGAAGAGGCTCATCCAAATCAAACTTAGGAAGAGTATAAGATCTTAGGCCTGAAGGGAATTTGGTGTTATCGTCACTCAAAGGTTCAATGTCCTGGCTTTGAAATTCATTGTCATCATAATCCATGAGTGTATCCCTACAATATAAGTAAAACACCCATAAAACTTTTGGTATCAATGTAGCCATAACTACTTCGTGCGTTTGTGCATGCATATATGCGAACATGTGCTGCAAATGAATAAATGTTGCTGAAAAAAAGAACATCATTGGATCACATAGAGCTTCCCCCAGTTATGCTCCTTACAGCCAGATGGGCATTTAGGGCTATCAGATGAAATGAGACAGCATCAAATGCATCCTCTACCTTAAGACAATATTAGCAAAAATAAATTGGACAAGACAAAGCCCCTCATACTATCAGCACATAGAAAATATAAAGTAAGAAGCATGAAACTATGCGGGAAAGAATTGATTAACGAACAGGAAAGGATGAGAAAAGAAAAACCATGCACATTACTCATTACTCACTCTTAAAAAATCCAGAACTGTATCAAAAAGAAACGGGAAAAAAAACCATTTCCATCACACCCTCTTCAACAAGACACATATTGTATCCAAGTTTGTCAACTTCTCCAACCAGCACTTCTAGTACAAAACTTTGAGAATAATAAAAAGGGCTCCAAATAATGCTTAAGTAATCATAGAAAAGAATAGGCATCAAAAGTTCATGCATAAAAGAAACAACTGAAAGAGTAGAATTTTCCCTGGCCCACCACCTCAACCACACATCAGGCCGAAATCATAAGGACAAAAAAAAAAAAATACACTGCTGCAGTCACTCTGCTCCCTCCCCACATTGCCCGCCTCATGTCTTCACCCTATCATAAGCACTCAAAGACCAAAAGCCTGTGGAAGTCTAGAGCCAGCCTAGCAAGCAAAACCCTCTCCAGGACAGCCAAAGAGTTATCTCTCCATCTCCATCTCTATCTCCATTTCATGGTATACATACATATATACTTGCACACAAACATACACGCATACAAATATATATACATACATACATACATACATACATACATACATACATACATACATACATACATACATACATATATATATGACAAATATATTGATAGGGCTGCAGCCTATCAAAAAAAGTAAAGTCTCACCTTAAAACTCATAGAAAGGCATCGGAAAACCTTGAAATCGATCATCTTGGCCTTGACCATTATGGTTGGGAGAACAAATTAGGATTTCAAGCCTACATATAGTGTATATTGTAACACATTATCTAAACCGCCTATTTCCCTAAAAATAAGTGTTCACAAATCCGCAAGATCTATACCATTTTTCGCACTTCAAATTTCATTGTCAGTTTTTTAAATTGATTTTAGAGCCATAATGAAGGTCTCCAACACCCAAAGTACTTTATGGAGGAGGATTTGAGGTGACACTTTACTTTGTTTTCATATAGCCTAGGCCTTATATATATAGACATACACATACACACAATTTTCATATTTAAGGCCTTTCACTAATCCATAAGTTATACCATAGAAAAGAAAAGAAAATAATAATAATAATAAAGTTATAAGCCAGGTAAATTAAATCAGATATTATTACGTGATAGCAAGAATTTTAGATTTCATGGAAATGTCTCTAAGACATTGCCAAATATATTTCTTGTTGAATATTATAAATCAATTACTAGAAGAAATAGAAAGTTATAACCACCTCTATATTGCATGTGTTGGTGCTATGAAAAACTATCCTTGTCCCCAAAAATTTCATATACATATAAGCCATGTACAGCAATAAAATAAACAACAAATTATCCAATGGGATAGAGAGAAGAAGAGGGGGGGGGGCCTGCTGTGCAGGAGGAAGGGAAGGAGGGAGGGAGGGGGAGGGAGAGGGGGGAGAGAGAGAGAGAGAGAGAGAGAGAGAGAGAGAGAGATCAAACAAAGAGTGTAACGAGAAGACTAAATAACTGAAGAACTTTTCTAACAAATAAATAAGTATACTCCTTTACATCATACTTAACTCTATCTGATGTACATTCATTTATTCCCCATTTCATGCACCATTACAGTCACAAGAAAGGGAAAACTCCCAAAACTAACAAATAAAAAAAAAAACAAAATTTCATTATAATGAAAGAAAGAAGGCAAAAGAATTTAATAAAAAGTAGAAAATACCCAAATCATCTATTAAATAACAAACTGATGGAACGTAGATAAACATAACCAACAAAGAAGAACAATGTTAAACAATAAATACATATCAATAAATAAGTTAAAATAGTACATAATTACAACAGACAAAACCCATTTTTTTACCCATAATTAAATAACACCAAAACCCCATTTTAAAATATTTCAAAGTAAAATAACGTATTCTACACTTCTCAGAAAAAGGGAAAAAGCACAGAAACCCAAATATAACACAAGTGTTTCTTCTAAAAAAAAACCTAATTTCCTTCCAAAAAAATCAATTTTTCAATCACAATATCAATATACTTAATTTCCACTCAAACACTACCAGATAAGGCGTGATACAAAGCAAAAACTCGAATATCACCATTCACAACATGATAATACTAATATCAGTATATACAACACTAATATCACTAACAACAACACCAGTGAAGATAATGAAAAGAATAACCAGCATAACATGACGATAAAGACCAAAACCTAGAAAGAGAAAAGAATGAACTGCATTTGAGCTAGTTTTTGAGATAAAAAGCATATGAAGATGTGTAAAAGGGGGCAGAGATCTTACCTGGCTCCATATGGAGACGAAATCAGGGCTGTCGATCACAGAAACCCTAAATCTTCCAAGCATGGGAGGGTTCATAGCTTCAACGCACCGTTCTCTATGAAGTTAAGAGACAAACCCTTCTCCTGCCAAAACCCAACTTTTCGGTGACATTTCGACATGAATTCAGAGGTCGACAGTTGCAGGAAAGCACCGCAGAGGCCAAGTTTTAAACAGAGAGAGTGAATTTTCAGGCGAAAACTGACGTAATCGATCCGAAAATGATAGGAAAGTGGAGCAAAGCAAGGGCAAAACTACCAAACTCTCTCTTTCTCTCTCTCTCTCTCTCTCTCTCAAGGATTAAAACTTAAAACTTAAACCTCAAAGGGCAAAATACCGAACTCAATATATATACTCTGTTGCTTTCCGTGCCAGAAACTCCTTTCTCTATATATATACTTGAACCCTCTCTCTCTCTAAACAAATAGAAAAGGACGCCGTTACCATGTGGCCCAAGCCGAATATGTACAAATGCGAGCTTAAAAAAAAATTTTATTTTAAATATAATTTGATCTTAATTTTAAGGTAATATATAATTTTTTAACATAAAAATCATGAACATAAAAAATAAATAAATTTCAAAAGTTAAAAATAATAATTCTCTTAAAAAAATATTTAAACTTTTACAAGTTTTTTTTTTTAAAAAAAAAAAATCACCTATTTACGTCCCTCATTAAAATATATGCTTTATACCTTTAGAGCACGTATTGTAGAAATGCGGTCCAACCCGCATGAAACAATTGTTCAATGTTTCATATTCCCCTAAACCCTCTTTCACTCCTCTTTCTCTTAAGATGCACTAAAATCGAACCAGTCTCTTTCTCTCTCCTCTCTCCTCTCTCCCCTCTCCCCTTTGGCTGACCTCTCACTCTCTCTCTATCCAATGCCGTCTCCTCTGCTTCTATTCGCCCAAATGGCAAACCCCTCACGCGTTCTCTCTCTAGATGCCCGACCCTCGCTTTCTATCTCATCTTTATCTGCTCTCCCTTCTCTTTCTCTCTCTACATTCTCTCTCCCTTCCCTTTCTCTCTCTAGATGCCCGGCCCTTCGCTCTCTCCTCTTTGTACGCCCTCGCTTTCTCTCTCTACCCAATGCCGACTCCTCTCTTTCTCTCTCTAAGTTCTGCCCTCTCTCTCCTCGGATGAAAAATCAAAATGCGTGAGAGCGATCGGCTTGAAATTCGGATCTTGAATCCGAGTGAATTTCTAAAATAGCCCGATTGTTAACACTGACTAGCGAAGATGCCCCTATTAGTAGAGGGTGACGAAAATACCCTCCGATTTTGAGGAGAAATGACATAAACTACCCCAATGTTATTCGATAAGTATCGCACTAATGCTTTGCCTCCTTGGTTTATTTTGAAAAGATGACCATTCTGCCCTTAACCTACCTTGCCTCGTGCTCATTTTTTAGATTATGAGTATTCTGCCCTTTAAAAGTCAAAGCACAAAATGAAGGTGACGATGGTCAACAAATTTTCTACAAAAAAAGAAACGAATTCCCAATCTCCTCAAAAGTCCTATATTTTAATTTTTTTTATCTTTCGAAAAAGTTTATATAGAGCCGAGGCTCTAAACAATCAAATTAGAGTTTCACTAGAGAAAGTTGTTTTGATGCCCAAATATCTTCAAATTGATCATCTCGACATCAAGATGCATGGATATGAGAAAAAATGGATTTTAAATTTTGAAAATAGTGCATCTTGTAACACATTTTTTTACCATCAATTTTCAAGATTTTCCAAGTTTTCATAGATTTGCTCGATCTATATTATTTTTGAAGCTTTAAATTTTATAATTAAAGATGAAAATATATTTTAAGGCTAGTCAAAGATTTCTAATATTGAAACTGTATTTATCGATACTATTTGAATGTGGGCTCTAATTTGATTGTTTAGAGCCTCGGCTCTATACAAACTGCACCCTTAAATTTTATAATTAAAGATGAAAATATATTTAAAGGCTATCACAAAGATATTAAGTATTGAAACTATGTTTCTCCATACTATTTGAAGGTAGGCTCTAATTTGATTGTTTTGAGCCTCGGCTCTACACAAACCGCACCTTTGTCTTTTACTGTACATAGAAAAGACATTAGTATAGAATTAAGGTGCACCTCTAAAAGCCCTCCGACAAAGGTTGTTTTAATGTGGGAAAAACATGTAATTGATCATCTCAATATCCAGATGTATAGGTATAAATAAAAACGTGATTTTAAATCTTTAAAATAATACATCTTGCAGTACATTATCTAGACCATCTATTTTTAGGAGTTTTTTATGTATTTATAAATGTACGTGATTTGGACTATTTTAAATTTTTAATATTTTATAAATAGAGATAAAAATAGATTCTTATACCATCTTAATAATTTTTTATATTAAAATTACATATCATGATAAAGTTTGGGGGTTCACCTTAATTTGATTTTTTAAGGCACACCCATTCATAAAAGAACTTTTTTTATTTTAAAATATAAAAAATGTTGTGGTTTGTATAAGGTTGTGGCCCTAAATAATCAAAATGAGGTGTACCTCTATATAGGGTCAAAAGATGATTTTTCAGTAACAAAAATTGTTGTGATGCCTAAAAGTTTATTTTTATTTCTAATTATAAAATCTAAAGCTTCAAAGTGGTTTAAATTGAGTAAATCTACAAATAATTGAAAACATTAAAACTATAAAATCTAAAGCTTCAATGGGAAATTAATAGATGTATATATATATATTCGAATGTGGGAACAGTTGAGGGATCAAGCTTATGAGCATACTATGAAGCTCTGAGAGAGAGTGATTGAATAACAACTGAGGCATGAATTGTGTGTATCTGAAAATCAATTTGGTTTTATGCCAGGAAGGTCAACAGCCGAGGCTATTTTCCTACTTAGAGAACTGATTGAGAAGTTTAAGACGAAGAGAAAATACCTCCATGTGGTAGTTTATTGATCTAGAAAAAACTTATGATAGAATACATCGAGATTTGATTTGGTGGGTGTTGAAAAAAAAAAATAAGTCTTCAGGCATTATATCGATTTGGTGAGAGGTATATGCAATGAAGTGTTAGCTAATGGTGAAATATGTGAGTTTCAATGACAATAGGTCTACATCAACGATTAGCATTGAATCCGTACCTCTAGTTCACAGTTATGGATGACTTAACTAGGCATCTACAAGATGAGGTATTGTGATGCATGTTGTTCACATATGACATAATTTTGATCGATGAGACCCAAAATAGCATCAACACAAAGTTATAACTTTGGAGGGACGCTCTAAAATTTAAATATTTTAAAATTAGCCAGACTAAGACATAATAAATGAAATGCATATTTAGTAATAATAAGACTATAGACAAAGAAATCGTTGAGATTGACAACTATAAAGTAAAAAAAATACCGTATTTTATATATCTTGGGTCGACAATCCAGGAAAATAAAAATATTAAAGAAGATGTCGCACATAGAATTAGAGCTGGGTGGACAAAATGGAGATGTGCAACTAGAATTTTATGTGATCATCGCATAACAATGAAGTTGAAAGGCAAGTTCTATATAATAGTTATGAGACCAGCTTTGCTTTATGGGGCGAATTGTTGGACAGACAAAAAACAACATACCCATAGAATAAGTGTAACGAAGATGAGAATGCTGAGATGAATGAGTAGCAAGACAGTAAAAGATATAATTTGAAATGAATCAATTCAGGAGATTTAGGTATAGCACTCATAGGCGATAAGATGAGAGAGACTAGATTTAGCTGGGTTAGCCATGTATGGTGTAGATCCAGTACAACAACTGTTAGGAAGTGCGAGTTAGTTCAAATGGAATGATAAAAAAAGAGCAAGGAGTAGGCCAAAAAAGACGTGGTTGGAAGTAATTTGAAAATATACAAGGACTTATGACCTCACTAATAATATGACATTTAATAAAACAGAATGGCGTGCCAAAATTCGTGTAGACGATCCCAATCAATTAGAAAAAAGCCATGTTAATGATTATATATCTTGAAATGTCCTAATGGACCAACATCTCAATTCCCTCTAAGTTTATTGTTTGGGTATATTTTTGTCTAAAGAAAATCACGCGTATAATATTTTCACTAGGCAAGAAGTATATAAATGGACTACGTCCCGCTTCACTCCGATGGGCTTTGACCCTAGAGATCCTTACATCCAAGAGGCTTCATATTGTCTGTAAATACATGAAATATGAAACTTCTTGCATGTATATAGTAAAAAACAAAAATATTACCCTATAAATGTGGGGAATGTGATGGCCGTCAAAAGAGGAACTCAAGAGTTGACTAGTGATGTCACTGCCATACCTATTGGAAATGTGTTGAAATTGCTACAACTTATAAAAAATGACCACAAACTCAGCTCAGGCTATTGAGATCCACATAACCAGCATGGGATGTGGGACCCCCTGGATGAAGATGAACAAGTTAATAAGCCGTCGTCAAACTAATGAACACATGGTCAAATTTGAAGCTCAAGTAAATTTTAATTTGAGGTGCCCCAAAGGTGTCCTCCAAAAATAAAGTCATCCTGACTCAGATATGGGCTTGTAAAGTTGAAGATTACTTAGGGAGCACAGCCCTAGAAATTGGTGAAAGTTTGTACAAGGGTAGGCACTTCTTCAAATGGCCTATTTGCAAAATTTGGCCCCATTCCGATACGAGGAAGGTCAAATTTTCCAAGGGGCCCACACAGGGTCCATCACTTTTTAAAGCATGTGGACCATACTATGGCCGTGGTCCAATGGTGGATAAGAAAAAAGGTTTTGCCTACCGCATAGAAGTTCTATCCTCCCCCTCATCCAACCGTCCATTCTGAATGGAGGGCTAAGATTGCTCCAATCACAATGTCACGCCTCTACACTATTTTATTTTTAATTTTTTTCTATAAACTATTTTGATGCTAAATTTTGGATGTCCATTCCTCTATTAAACTCGCACTAGCAAAAAATATAAAAACAATATTCTCAGTGAAATAAAATGACTAAAATATCTTTGAAACTTTCAAAGGGTATTTTGATCATTATATTTTATCGAAAAATTATTTTTAAAATTTTGTATAGGTGCGCCCCAATGAGAAGATGACACGTATCAAATTTCATATTCATGCAATTTGTGTAAAAAAAACTAAAAATAAAATACTTTGAGACGTTGGATCTAAGATAAAACGGTGAGTGTCTCTCTTGATTAAAATTGGACGGCTGGATGGTAGAGGGAGGATAGAACCTCTACGATGTAGGGGAAGCATAGAAACATTTCCCTTATATTTTCTTGTATTACAAGTATAATCCAATAGATGTTAAGTGGATCCAATAAATTGTGCTGCTAGTTTTTTGCTTAGGAAAAGATTTATAAGCTTCCCGCACATCGTGGAAGTTCTATCATCTTCTTACTAAAATATAAATCCTATTAATATTCTGATACCTAAATGAAACCTTATAAAAAAATTAAAAACTTATAATAGAGATAAAAGTAAATTCTCACACTATCTTGAGAATTTTTCACACTAAAATTACATCTCGTGACAAAATTTAGAGGTGCACATCAAATTGATTTTTTAAGGTCGTGCAAACCACACCCAAAACATTAGCATCAAGGATATTTTTGTCAATTTCAACGGCAGGGGTACTTTCGTTATTCTTCTGGGCATGGCTATTGTTTCAATTATTTTGAAAAGGAAGGGTAGTTTGAAAAGAGAGACAATATGGTAGAACAAATTTAAATAAACAGCAACGAAAAGGCTTTTCTATCCAATGGAAAAAGGCCACGCGAGGTCTGTCCACTCAGAGTACGACAAAGCATGGGTCAGTACAGTCAATGGAATTCCAAACAAATAAAAGAAATAGCTCCGCGGGACCCAATTGTACACTTGCCCCCTCCGGCGAAAGATGGAGGTTTCTTCCTATATCAAATTTTAGGGTCAACTTTTGAATCCCATATGTTTCAAAAAGATTATGAGTTTTTGAAAAGAGTTAAAAAATTCAATGGTCTCCATAGGAGGTGGTTTTAACTTTTTAAGGTTCTAAGATATGCTCCTGCAGGTGCATACAATTTTGACAACAAAATACGGATGTACTATGGGGGCATGGTTTTCTTCTATCCCCTCCTCCCATAACCAGGGAGGATTTTTCAATATGAAATTTTGGTAACCATAGAATCACTAAACGATTACTCTCAAAAGGCAAATTTGAAATTTGAGTTTTCTAACACTTAAATCTCTCCCTCTAAAAATTGGATAGTTTCTATTCAATCTCGAGAACATTATTTATTCTAAATACTTAGCAGGGTGCAATTAAGAAATTTGTTTTGTTGAAGTTATTCAATGTGTTAAACAGGTAAAATCCCCAAATCTTATGGTCCTAAAGCTAAATCATAGGTGAAGCTTTTGGCGAGGAAGTAAATGGACAAAATACTTGTGAGGGAGTAGAGTATGGTATCTTGTGGGAAATATAATATTATTAAGGGTATATTATTATATGTGGTCACGAGACTTATCAGGATTACATTTAGCACTTTCCCAACAGAGTGAGAATTTGAAGGGACTTTTTATGTACAATTTCCAGGAAAGGTATGAGTGTGGAAACTTTAGAGGATTCCCCCATCTTCTATTTCCCTTACCCAATGCTAATTGTATGGTGTGGAAACTTTGGAGGATTCCCTTTTGGATTATTATGCATGTCAAGGGATGCTCTCTCTCTCTCTCTCTCTCTCCCCTTGTTGCTTTGACATTCATACTGAGGAGTAAAATGTACCCAACACCCAAACAATTCTCAGAATTACCATAAGGTGTTACTGTCACACTTAACAGAATAAATCATATCTATTATCTAGAATGGTGCCGATAATATGACATGTAAATCACTGCATCTCTCTCTCTCTCTCTCAAAATTACCATAAGGGGTTTCCTTCACACTAACAAAATGAACCATATCTGTTATCTAGAATGGTGCTGATAATATGACATGTAAATCACTGCATCTCTCTCTCTCTCAAAATTACCATTCTAGCATGATACAATAAAATAACATGAGAAACAATATATATATATATATCTTTCTCTCTATTCTTATTCTTCTCTTCTCTTTCTCTCTCTCATAAAAACATCTACATCCTACACCTTCAAAGTCATATGGACATGTTAACATAACTCCAATGACAGTTGATCCAACTATATTACCTTTGTTACCTGGAAAGTACTGACAATATGACATGTAAACCAATTTCTCTCTTTCTCTCTCTCTCTCTCTAAATTGCCATGCTAGCATGACACAATAGAATGACATGCAAAGCAAGGCATCTCTCTCTCTTTACCCCTTCAATGTCAGATAAACATGTCAACACAATTCTCGTGACTCTCATGACAGTTGATCCAAGTGTACTACCTAGCCAACATCACCATTGTTTTCTCTATCTAATCACCAGAAAAAACATATCTGAATTTTGTATCATAAGGCAGCCACTCTACAACCTGCCCAATCTTTTTACTTGATTTGTTTTCCATGCATTCCTTAATTGAATCATGCATCTTCTTGTCCACATTTTCAGAGACCAAAGAGAGCAAATCTTCCAGGTTTAGAGATGCCTCCTTTGCATATCTCTCAATGACTTTAGGGAGGAATACTTTCCTTGATTTCTTTATCACCACATTGGATTGAATGAACTCTCTTTTTGCCGTCTCCAACTCCTCTCTCACTCTTTTGGCAGTGTAGACTCTGAGCTGCACATTGTCAAATAGTAATGGGTTGTTGAGAAAATTGGGACCGAAGACCAATAGATCGGCCTAATTGAGATCATCAGAGAGAGAGGGGGGAAAGGGGGGGGGGGGGGGTTGGTTTTTCCTAAACTCCATTCATAAGTATCGTGAGTGATTTCATGATTCTGCAGTTATTGGTCTTATTTTTTAAAGACTCTTTTTTTAATTTCACAAAGCAAAAACATAAAAGAAGGGTGTTTGTTCCTTAGGCTCGGGCTTAGTGGTAGAAGATAAATTCGAGCGAGGGAGGTCAAGGGTTCGAACTCTTGAAGTTTGTCCTAAAAAACCAAGCAAGCTAACCCCAGCATCTTCTTTTTTATTTATTTATTTTAAGAAAAGAGAAGGTTGAGAGGGGTTGCCACATACCAGAGGATCAGAATGAGCCCCATTGCAGAGAGCAAAGTAAACAAGTGGCTCTTTCTCAAGGGGACCAAATTTTGAGCCAAAAAGTTGCTTTTCTTCTTCCGATTTCCATCTCTTGGCAGTTGAAAGGATGGTTTCAAACCACTGCAAAGAATCAAAATAAATGTACAAAATTTTATGAAGCAACCTTTAAAAGCTCAAATATTGGAATGAAGCCTCTATCTCGATTTCTCCCCTGATATCTAGCCAAAATTTACGTTATCCCTGGAATTAATTTTCACCAACAAAATTATAGTTTACAGTGGGAATTTGGAATTTCAGCTAGTTTTCAGTTGAATTGCCACTGAATTTTCATATAGGAGAAATTGGATTAGCCAATGGACAATGAAAAACCATAGTCCTTTGGGGTAATCACCGTTCAATGAATGATGGATGATGATGGAAAGAAAGTGGGATCCTGAGGTGATTCTGCACTGGTGGATACCGGCCATAATTTTATTGGATTGTGATGACCCCAATGTAATATGAGGTTACAATAGTTGATGGGAATATATTATATTTACTCCTACTGGAAAGAATGGATCAAAAAGATGAAGACCTACCCTGCCTGTGCGTGGAGTACGGAAACCGAATATGGTGTGCTCTATGGTGTAAGCACTTATGACATGGCCTCCAATGTTATAAGAAGCCTGCACTAGACAAAGGAGTCACATTTCCTGGATCTATGTTAAAAATCCTTCCATCCCAACATAATAAATTACTAAGTTTTCAACAATCTATCAATTTAACGTTTATCTGTTTCAACTCCAACTCAGGGCCATGTGTATTTTGATGGCTATTTGAAAATTAAATTAAAAGATAAGGATAAGATGTTAGATAGTTGATCTGTTATGTATATTTTGAAGAATTTCCCTATATTATATATTAATACTAATATCTATAGAAGCACACATGCTTGTGTTTTATGTGCGTATGAGAGAGAGTTAGAAATCTAATGACCAGAATCTCAAGAGTACCTTATGGAACAAGGTCATCCTTCTCAAAGCACTATGGGGAATACCAAATGCTAAATATGCCTGCAAAGCAATAAAGAAATAATAAGAAAATTAGTTGTAGAAAATGGACAATGGACTCTTGTCCCCCTGTTGTAAAGAAGCTTTATCTCAGTCCATAGGTCACATATTTGAATACCAAACGCTAATCAAAACAAATGAAGAATGAAAACACTGGCATTTGAGAAAAAAGTTTTAAAAAAGTGTTGAAAATTTATCCTTAACACCCAGTTTGGATTCTCGTGCACATTTTTATCAAGCAGGTGTTGACTGACCAACAAAATACATAATTTCTGCATTTTGCATAAAAACTGGAATCTCACTCACAAAACAGTGGCATTTTATGAGTGCGCCTACACTTAATTCATTATCATCGTCAAAGCCTTTTCCCAACTAATTGGGGTTGCACCTACACTGAATTGGGGTCCTAAAATTGCATCCAAAGGGGATCCACGAGCCAAAAGTGCTTTAATGTCTAAAAAGCCACCCCAACATTGCGAAAGTGTGTTTTGGGATGGCATGCAAAAGAGGCCCAAGATTTGTGAGTGCTCTAGATGTTTCCCTGGTACCAAAGTTAATAAAGAAAATGTAATAATGAAGCAAAAGAATTCAAGATGTGGTCTTTTTACATGCATAACCAGAGAGTTATATATGTTGATCCAGAATGCTGTTTTCTTCTCACTGTCCATTTGACTTGTGTCCACTTTCTCCAATTGCTGCACTAAAATTCTGAAAATTACAGAAGTCAGAACGAAATGCCCCCCATTTTCAGCATGCCTTTCAAATAGAGAAATATTTAGAGCAATCTAACCATTGTATGGACATTGCAAAACACTCCAATCTGTTAGTATTTTTGGTTTGAAAAATGCTTAAGTGTATTTCAAAACAATAAGTTTTATTGTACTTTCCTAAAATGCCTTTGTAGAGAGAGAAAGATGTGGGTTTGAATCCCACATTGAAAAGGAGAGAGTTTGTTGAGCAGTATTTAAGAGCACGTATTCCCATATAATATACTTTAAGTAAAAAGGAGAGAGAAGGTATATATACGGAACACACAAAGCATTGCGAGGGCACTTGAAGTGCACTTCTCTTTCTCTCTCTAAACTATCAAAACTCTGGTGTATCATGTGTGGGTTCCAAGCTCGGGTGCATAGAGCTTAGGAACATTGTAAAAGACATCTATGTTTTCCTGTATCTCGAGGACGAATTGCCCTTCTTATACACATAAAATACTATATCGAAGGGGGGTAAATATCGTCTTGAGATAGCACTCCTGCGTGCCCGAAAATAAAAAGAGCTTAAGCTTTCATTTTTTGCAAATTGTACTATTTTCTGCCCCATTTCACCCAACCAAATTCCAATACCATCTTCTCTAAATGGCTAAAATGGCTCTCATTTCCCAAAATCCATCATACCTTCTAATAAGGGTACTATCCAGTTGAAAACAGATAAGTGCATTTGTGATATAATGAAGAAAACCTCAAAAGAGTATCCAAAATCCCAGTGAAGTGTAAGGCAATTATGCAACAACCAGCGATATCTTCAATTTTTCAAAGAATGTGTTTCCTAAATACAAAAGAGTATGCGAGAGAGAGAGAGAGAAAGAGAGAGAGTACTTGAAACTCCTGATCGCATAAGAAGAAGCATGTGAAAAATGGTTTGCTTTTGTAGATATCCATTGAATTTCCACCATCGATCTGCACGGCCAGTCTTCACTGTCTCTAGGAACATGTTGTGGGAGAACAACACTAGAAGAAGATCTCAACAAGAACGGCGAACTAGATGGCCTTGGCTTGGTAGATGCTGCATCATGTAATCGTCGATAGATTGCAATCATACATCGAACAAGTTCCTCTGATAGCTTGTCTGGAGATTGATGGAGATGATCTCTCAATGTAAGAGAAGCCAAGGAATTCTTCCCACTAGGCGGTACTTTCTCATGGTTCTGAATTCATAAAAGAACCAAGAAGAGAAATTTCCAATGGGTTATCAGACTTTGAAGCATGACCATACACTTTCAGTGGTCATATCAAAACTTGGTAGTCAGAAAAATGTGAAACATTATAAGTAAAAAATGGACAGGAATGAATCTAAACATGAAAAATATAAATACATAAAAAAAAAAGCATTAAAAGGATCAGCTTGAAAAGGTACACAAATGTCAATGAAGCTATAAATGGCACCAACACATTAGAAATTCTTCCTTTCCATTTATCAAATCATGTACCCCAAATCATTGGGATAAGGCTTGGATGATCATGATGATATCTGCAAAATATGATGCATAAATTTCTGGCAGTTCGGGGACTTACCAACCAAAAGGAAAAACAACTAGAAAAATCAACTTCTGAGCCACAAAGAAAATATATAAGTGAGGAAGCCCAATAGTGAGAATTCTCAAATTTGGCAGGCCATACCTTATTGTTGTCGTGGCTATTGCTCTTAATATCTGTTTCTACTTTACTGCTCAATTGTGAAGCATTTCGAGTCTTGGACTTCTTTAGCACATTCTTTTTGCCCGGGTCTTTTATAGAAGATAGAATGTGGAATGGCTGAGAATGAAAATTCTTTGAGGAGCAAAATGCACTTGAAATTATGCTTGGATGCCTTCTTGCTTCTGGTTTTGCACGAACCGGAGATGACATGCCTGAGCTCTGTTTGGATGGCACCCCACTAATGCATTGATCAAAAATGCTTCGATAGAGAGTGAGCACTTGCTGTTCTCGGTTGGCAACCTCTTTTTCAAGCAACTCAATCTCTGTTATCAACTCCCATGTCTAAACAGAGAACCATAATGTTAGAATCACTTCCGACTAAATGTACAAAAAAAAAGAAGAAAAAAAAGTAAGAATGAAGGTGAAGTATACTATAGATCACAATACAATTTATACTATCTGATACACCACGTGGTCATCCACTGTCCGTCCCAAATGATGAATGGCAGAATGGGTAGATTAACCATAGTCTGGCCCATAAGGAAAGTGAACTATAGGTATAGTTGACATCCACCATCCATCAATAGGGATGGATTGTGTCTTTTTTAGAGTATCAAGTATCAAATGTAAGTGTAAGTGTGTGTGTATGAGAAGCGTTTATATAAGGTGTCAACCTTAGATTGTAGAATTAAGGTCAACGATAGAAAACCCTCTAATTGATCATATTGACCTTGATATGTATGAATATGAAAGGAAAAATGAATTTCAAGTCTTAAAAATAGTACATCTTGTGAGGCATTATTTAGACTGTATATTTTCAAGATTTTCAAGTGTTCATAGATCTACTAGATCCGCACTATTTTTGGAGTTTTCAATTTCACAATAGGTGTAAAAAATAGATTTGTAGACCATCATAAGAGTTTCAGCACTGAAAATTCATTTTTTAACAATATTTTTAGGTGCACCTTACCATGATTGTTTACGGTTGACACCTTACACATATATATATATATATATATATAAAGATGCTAGGGTCAGCCCACTAGCTGATGAAATAGTATAAGCCCAACGGCCCAGATTGAATCTGGGTCGATCTGAGAGTCAATACTGCATTTCGGTAATATAATTTTAATAGTTTTTATATCAATCCAAATAACATGAAATTTGGAGCTCAACTCTTCTCATCAAGGCGTACTTAATAAAAATATTAAAAAACTTTCGTATAAAATAAATTGACTAAAATACTCCTAAAATATTTCAAAGGTATTTTGGTCAATTTATTTTATGTGAATTATGTTTTTTATATTTTTATTAAATTCTACTAATTTTGGGGAATAGACGCACCAAATTTCAAGTTATTTGGATTTGTAGAAAAAAATTAAAATTCAATTACGAAATACAACTGCGATCATTGGATCAGCCCATATTTAATCTGGGCTGTGGGGCATACGCTATTCCATCAGCCCATGGGCTGACAAGAGCTTTTATATATATATATATGTGAGTGATTTCATTTCACCATATCATTGTGATATAATGAAACTGTACTTCTAAAAACACATATTTGTGGCATTTGTATGACTCCAAAATTTGCATACACCTTCTCATCATCCTAATAATCAATCCAAAAAAAAAATAAATCAATTTGCAGCTTAGATATAGTCAAAAAGAGTCCCCCTCCAACAATGAATCTAGACCATCCATTTGGTGAATTTCAAGATCAAGACCTTTGTGAACTCAACATCATTTTTTTTATTTTTTAACATTGTTTATCTAATGATAATAATGCCATCCAAAAAATTTAGACATGAAAAAATTTCCTTCTAAGGCCTAGAGGCATTGCACCAAAATGAATGGCCTACCAATGTTAATTGGGCTACAAAATACTTTCTAAGATGTGTTTTCAAATTTTGTTTTCTTGTGTTTGTTCATTGAAATTAAAAGTGTACATTTAAAAATTAGGGTCAAACAAATGGCTCTAACATGGTTTTTGAAGATTGTTTCATTACATTACTATACAACCGTTGCATGAGATCATTTCCCATATATGTATGTGTATGTGTGTATATCTTGGTCTATATTATGTGATCTCTACATGATTGTTCTACTAATATGTGATCCAACAAATTTGTTGATTGTATATATAGGTTTCGGCTCATTTGTAGCAGTTAAAACCTTAAAGATGTCAATGCGCTGCACCAATGAGGACATGTTCAACTTTGGCTGCATGGGTGGAGGACCAGCTTGAGCTTCACTCAGGCTTGAACCACCAAGCATGAGTTTGTCTTGATTAAAGTTAAGCATGAGCTTGGCCTAGGCTTGCTTAGCAAAACAAGCTTATAAACATGCCGAGACAAGCCATAAATAAGCCGTGAACATATATATATACAAGGCAATATACAACATAATTTTTATATTGTATATTATAATAGCTTAATTTCCTATTTGAGGTCTGGTCAATATAGCATAATATATGTTTTCTTTTTTAAATTATATAATCATATATTAACAATCTCTAGCCAAGCGTATCTAAAGCTTGAGTTTCACTTGTTCATAATCAAGCTAGTGGGCTCGGCTTGGCTTGGCTTGTCGAGCTGAAAAATGTTCTCGCAACCTATCTTCGCTTGTTGGCAGCCCTATGAACGGTGGTTGCTAGACTGAAATTCAAGTATTACCTGAGAAGCAAAATGCCTGTGACCCGGTGAAAGAGTACTTGAAGCTCGACCCATAGCCTTCTCAAGCATATTCCGCATACGCCTTTCATTATGCAAGTGCATTTGTAGCTGTTCAATCTGCCCAATTAATAAAGCATAGGAGTATGTGAGTAAAACTTGGAATGAATGGATCCTTTTCCTTCAGATTCATGACGAATAAATCCTTTTCAGCTAAATATAATAGTTTTTTGGGAATTCACCAGTAACAAATGCAGACATCTGAAAGTGTAATACTTGGCAATACCCAATTCAGAATACACAAACGTCACACTGGAGAAATAGATAACAATTGGTTAAAAGTTGCAAAGATACACTTTTCAACTTTTACAAAGAGAAAATCCCAATATCTAGCTCTTTTGATAGTATGAGAAGAGTATGAGTATGAGGTTTCATATAGAAAACAGAACCTATAAAGCACCTCTTCTATTTTAAGGTATTAAATGATGGAATGGCATCTTTCTTTACATACATCTCTCTTTTTGCAAGTTTTAAAGAGCCAGCCATGAATAATAAGTCTTGGTGAGTTATCAAACAAAAAGCTTGCAGTTTCAGATAGTACCAAATTTTGAATGCCATTATGTTTTGGAGCTTTCCAAGCGGCAAATGATTCTAAAGTCTTAAAACAAATACAATGATCGGAACTTTTGTTACACTAACACACCAAGAACATAATATGCACCACTTAAAATTGACTCTATGGTATATAATATACAAATGACAATAAAATAACACAAGGGACATAACCGCAAACGGTCATGGAAAACATAGATTTTTTATTCTCAGCTGGATATTTATCCTCAATAGATGTGATTGTTAAAATTGATTTTTTTTTAATGTTTATAAAGCTATCTAAATTATTAGTATAGGTAAATGAATAAAAGAAGAAGATGCCCATATACCACACATGTAAATTTCAGATTATCAATTGACCTGTCCTACCATTCTCACCCTTCCTTCCCTTTCCAGTTAATCAATCCTCCCTCGGAACTTATTAAGGAAAGAGAGGGCTATCCCTTGCTTGCGTCAGTCAGTCTCTTTAGATTATTAATTGAAAAAAGAAGTTTAGAGCATTAATTGCATACAAAATCTGTCACCAGCAAGTTCCCTGACAAATGCAGCAAAAGGGAGCACACTTAATCTACACCTTCGTTTGGTAGAACCCTAAGATTAGAAGCATACCCAGTCATTCTTTTGTCAAACATTTCTGAACCTCTCACAATAAATTTATCAGTTCCATCAAACAGAAGGTTGTAAAACTGATCCCTTGTTTTTCATAATTATCCAAGCAATGTTTCCAATTCATATACATCAAGATCCATCCACAAATCACCATCCCCAACTCCTGCTGCCCCCATAACCACCAAAGCTATGCATATATATCCTCCACCAGCTTTTTCCAAAAGGTGCTAACTAAGTTTCGTTCAGAATAGGATTCATTGCCTCCGTGACTAAACAAATCCCTCTGTCTCCCTCATGAAAGGCTCCAGCCTTGGTGTCGCATCAGAAAATAACTGGGCTACTTTGCCATAATCATATCCCCTTTATAGCTCCCATCTGTCACCTATGCTACCTCTAAAATGAAATAGTTCCTCTTCTGGAAAAATGGTTCAAATCCTGTTTGAATAATTTAACTTTAACATGACATTGCTTAGGCCAAAAAAACTTCAATACACCATTGGTATTAGGATTGTCTGTAGTAGATGGAATACACTAACCAATTTGTAGACCCTTGTTAAGAGTTAACTTCATTCAATCCAGTAGGTTGACATCCACTTCATGTTTCTTTCCCTGAGTGAGCTTCTTCACTGTCACCCCTCCTTGTAATGTGTCTTGTGTGACATAATGTGTGTGTTCTGTGTAAACAGTAATTTTCTTTTTATTTTTGTCTTCATGGTCCATTTCATTGCAATTCTATCATTTGGGTTCAAGGCAGACTTGTATATACTTACATACCTTCTCTAAAGATAGAATCAATTAATGAGGTTGTCTTCTTCTTCTTCTTCTTTAACAATGAGACATTCTTGTCTCAAACTTGGGTTTCTATCACTTCTAAACAACACATAAATATGGAGGTAGCCATATGTCAAAAATGACTGCATGCTTGTACAAGCATGTATACAAGTAGAGTTTTGTGAAATGACTGCATGCTTGTACAAGCATGTATACAAGTAGAGTTTTGTGAATGTTACTGTTCTATTATAGTGAACATATAAATTATAAAGTGTTATGCATGAATAAAGATTCAATACTTACATCATTCTCCAAGGATGAACGACTGTTTGGTAAAGTTACACGTGTTGTATCACTGGAAGCTTGTTTAGTGGGCATTCGTACTTCATAACATCTCAAATTGTTTCTCAGATCCTGAGAAATTCACAACATAAAATTCAAATCCTAGACAACATCATAATTGCTTCTTGGCAGTTGTGGTTGAATTTTATTGCTCAAGATAATTTGATTTCATCAAAGTTTCATCTAATATTGACCAAAAAATAGTTGTGAAACCAAGTAACTATTAGAAGTTCTGCACAACAATGTTTCACATATCAGGTGTGCAGAGAAACCTCAGAGACCCACACTCTCAAACATCAGATCCACAAAACTATTTCTCAATGCAAAACTAACCTTCTGGGTTTATAGTGAAGTTAAAACAAGTATACAACAGGTACACATATAATCAGGCATGACCTTACTCCTGGTCTGAAAAGCATTAAGCAGATTATAAAAGGGAGCTTGTTATATTAACAGTGGAGGTGAGACATAAGGAGAATTTGAGTGATGGCTTCTGATAATCCATGAAAAGGAATTTTCCCTATGGAGAAGTTGAAGTCGGTCAAAGTGGTCATGGCCTTAGAAGTGTCTCAAAAGTGAATTCTCTTCCACCCCTTCATGGCCGCTCTTCTTTGTCGATGCATAGTCTTTTTAAGATGCAAATTTCTACTTTTCTACTTTTCTTCTTTTCCTTTTTTTATTTTTTTATTTTTTCTATTTTTGTTAGCATAAGTTTCTAAAATTCAATTGAAATTGGCTACACAACAGTTCTCAAGAGTTACTTTTCTCAAACATAAAGAAAGAACAGCATAATATACATGACTTGCACTTAAGTCTTCTCGTCTTCTCAACAGTCTAGGTTCAGCAAAAGCATTCAAATTTAAAGAAAGAAAAGAAAATGAATTCATTATAGATGACAAATTTTGTGATCATCACCTTAGAATGCTCCTTTGAATCCATTCCCTTGGAATGTGAAATCTCTGGTCTCTCAGAACCCAAGTTCTTATCAGAGGCACTGCAAGGAATGCAAGTATAAATACAACAAAGGGAAGTGGCTTGACAACCATAAAACCAAATAAAACCATCACTTAAAAGGAACCCACTTAAACTGGAGTAATTTTGGGATATCCAATTCTTTTTTAACCAGCGAGGGATATCTGATTTCCTTTTCTTCTGTTTTTTTTTTCTTGAATGGTAGGATATCTGAAAATCCAGTAAATACTTTTGAACCATATCATATACATGCCTTTATCAAAACAAAATTTCCCAAGCAAAACCAACCTAAAGAAGTTTATTAAATATGAAGTTCCCTTAAATCAACAGTATTAAATATGAAGTCCCCTTAACCAACAAAACCTGTCTAAGATCACCAACCATGCAAATAGTTCTGCAATCCCGATCTATGCAAGATGCTTTCATAGCATAGTGTTGTTCTCAAAATAATGAGAAATACTGGTTAGTAGCAGTGGTGGTGGTCATGGTAGTAGTGTTAGTAGTGAGAAATTGTGGTTAGTTGTATGGGTGGTGGTGGTCATAGTAGTGGTAGAAGAGAAATTGAATGTATATATATAAACGTGTGTGTGAGAGAGAAAGAGAAATCGAAACTACATCATACACGCACACATAAGTACATATGCATACATGCACACATGTAATGCATTATAAATTTGCATGTATGTGTCTGTGAAATCAAAGCTATTTATTTTCCCAGATATTGGATCTTACACACAAACATAGATATTGGATCTTACACACAAACATATTTATGTATGTACATATGTATGTATGTACATATGTATGTATATGTATATGTGCATGCATTTACATGCAAACCTACACATGTGAGTGTATACTTTTGCATGCTTGTGTACATATAGATGTACATGGATATATATGGAGGCATGTATTTATATATGTATATATGCATGTCGCATGTTTCGATTCTGTGAATACAAATGAATATATACATGTAAAATGTGCACATATACATGTGTTTGTGACCACTGTTGCCGAAATTCAGGTCACTAAGACCGAACTACAATGTGATTACCTAAAAACCTCTCTCTCTCTCCCAAGTAAAAATAAACAGAGAGAGAAGTCATTCTTTGAAGGATGAGGTTTGGATAAGTTGTCAACCTTATCCTATAAGGTGTACCTCAAAACTATGCCTAAAATGCAGTTTCCGTGCTGCAAAGCTTTGCGATGATATGAATATCTATTTTTGCCTCCAATTATGAAATTTAAAGTTCCAGAAATGGTGTCAATCAAGCGGATCTATAAGCACTTAAAAATATTGAAAATGGACGGTCTATATAATGCGTTAGAAGATTAACTATTTTTAGGACTAGAAATCCTCTTTTTTCCATGTTTATGAATCTTAAGGTCGAGAAGGTTATTTGAAGGTTTTTCAGCATCAGAACAACTAGTGGGTTTTTTAGGCACACCTTACTCGTACAGTATAAGGTTGACACCTTATATATACATTTTCCTTCTATGAAACTGCTAAGAGCACCCAAAGAAGAGAAAAAAAGTAAAAAAAGAGAAAGAAAAGAATAAGGTAAACAATTTAAAATGAAAATTAAAACGAATTGAGGAAAGTAGAGGCTTCCTCTAACCTTTTGGAACGCCTGTGTTGAGAAGAAACCTTCGAAGAAACCCCAAAACCTCCATTACTTTTGCCCCTGTTTCTTGTACTACCTGCCCAGGGGACATCTGTTTTAATACTTTTTCATACCCCAAAACCCAAAATCCATCACAAACAAAACCCAAGACCAAGAATTACTTACATATACTTCAAATTAGAGTAATAAAACCATGATATATACAGAGTAGAGAGAGAGAAAAACCAGAAAAAAGACAGCTGAATTATATTCTATGTACCATCCATTCTAAAACTTCTGCAAAGCCCAATACTCAAAAGCCACAAAACCCAAACCCAGAGTCCAAAATCAAGAATCAGTTATCGATGCTTCAAATTATACAGCCATGATATATAAAGAGTAGAGAGAGAGAATCATTAAAAAAGAAGCAAAGCTGAAGTATATACCATCCATTCTACAACTTCTACAAAGCCAAATTCTCAAAAACCACAAAATCCAGAACCCAAGGTCCAAAACCAATCACAAGTTGCTCAACCATGTAGAAAATAAGTAAATACAGCTTAAATATCTGCAGAATAAAGAGAGAGCGACAGACATAGAGAGAGAGAAGGAAAACAGAGCTCAGCTATGTGTAAAGAGTAGAAAGAAGAAGGTGCGTGTGTGTGTGTGTGAGAGAGAGAGAGAGAGAGAGAGAGATTTCACACATTTCAAAGGCATTGAATGCGGTTTGAGGAATTGAATTCAAGGCAATATATGTTGTTGGGTGAGTAAAGGAAGGCAATAAATGAAGTAACACTATTGCCTCAGTCTTCACACGAGCAAACAGAGAAGAACAAAGAAACATTGATTAGAATTTTGTAGAGAGAGAGAGAAAGGATTAAGTTTTGAACTTCTTTTTGGAGGGAGAGATTTCCAGAATGCAGCAGGTAACAGAATTTGGATCCCAAAAGCCTGCAGCCAGTATTAAAACCATCTCTGCAATTCTACAAAGATATTAAATGATCCCCCCTCTCTCTCTCTCTCTTGCTCTCTTTCTCTTCTCCCCTCCTCTCTCTCTCTCTCTAACAGAGATTTCGAAAATGCAACGGATAACAGAATTTAGTGCCAAAATGCCTGCACCTCATTTATAAACTTTGATAGTGTATGTCTGTTATTACCACCCAAAATATTTTTGGGAAGGAACTGTAAATTGAGGTGGAAATAGCAAAAGTAGACGTGCACGTCGAAATCTATAAATTAAATTTTGCATGACACATAAATTAAAGGAAAAACTTTACATAAGGTCTGCAACGTTAAAATATAAAATTAAGACTGACCTCAAAATCTATTGGAAAAGATTGTTTCGATGTAGTAAAACTATCTAATTGATCATCTTGAAATCGAGATGTATGAATAAAAAAAATTTTAAAAAAAAGATTTTAGTTTAAAAAAATAGTGCATCTTTCAATATATTATCGAGAATGTCAATTTTCAAGATTTCTATGTGTTTATATATTTATTTGATTTGAACCATTTTTGGAGTTAAAAAATTTTTAAGTAGAAATAAAAATAGATTCTCAGCCATCCTATAAATTTTTTATACTAAAATTCAATCTTATGATAAAAAAAAAAAATCTACTTCTCTCTCTCAAACTTGATGGCCAAATACCTTGCTATTGAACAGTTTCCCCCTCTCTCTCTCCAGTAGAATTTTAATGACAAAATACATGGTTCTTAAACAGTTTCTCTCTCTGGTAAAATTTAAGTTCCAAAATGACCTTATGGAACAGTTTTAGAAATGCAACAGAGCTGAAGGCAATTACTTTTGGATGATTTTCTCCAAAAAAAAAAAAAACTTTTGGATGGGTTTATCTTTCCACTTGAAAAGTACCTTTCTCTAACAACCAAATAAAATAAAAAAAAATCTCTCTCTAAAATGAGGGGCCCTCTCTCTTTCATTCTCTGCATTTGCTAATCTCTCTCTCATATTAGAGGAAAAGGTTAAAATGATGGAATTTTTTTTTATAAAGTTGACGCCTTAACTGTACAAGGTGTACCTTAATTTGTTTTGACCTTAGTAACCATCTAATTGATAATCTCAACACCGCGATGCATTAATATTGGAAAAAAAAAGAGATATCAAGGGCTAATGGTAGTACATCTTGCAACATATTATCTGGACCGCCCATTTTTAAAATTTTCATGTGCTTAAAGATCAACTTGATTTAGACCATTTTTAGAGATTAAAATTTTATAATTAGAGATAAAAAATAGATTTTAGTACTATTCTAGAAATTTCTGACACAAAAATTGTATATCAGGACAAAGTTTGAAGGATTGATGGTTTAAGATTGCAATATTGTGCAAACCAAACCCATTGCATAAAGCCTAGGCCTTGTAAGAACTGTATAACTCATGAAAAAGGTACTCGGGGTTCTTTTAAGCCTCATGAAGGACCCTTTAAATAACTTCCAAGGTTCATTTCCCATCTTAACTACCATCTACCAGAAAAAATAATTATACTTTTGGTTAAGTGTATTAACAAAAGTAAATAAACATACGAAGATAATATGGAGTTTATACTATAACACCATTTGCTTTCGGCACAAGGACGTTAGTTATACTTTAATACAATAACTTGGGTGTCGAAAAAATTCAATATTTTTCTTTAGAAATTGGAGTTCAATCAATAACACTTCTATAACCTCCTGATTTTGCATTTAATGACAGAATGCGGTTGTGACCTCTTTATACCAAAGTAAAAAATGATCTTGTTTTATATTTCCAAGATAATCTTGAAAGATTTAAAAAAATCAAGCAATGTAATTTTGACAAAATAAAAATAAAAATTAAGCAAAGTAATTTTGACAAAAATAGCAAATAAAAATGGCAAACTCGGGTGACTCTGAACTGGACCAGGGAACTTTTAACCAGATTTTTTTATGAAAATATTAAAAATTGGGAGATTCGGGGGATTCTAAAGTTCTTTTACCAACAACTGTTGATCCAGTTTGACTCAGGGGATGCTGGGCACAAATATTTTTTTTTTTAGTAATTAATGATTGAAACTTGAAATGAAAGATGCTTAATCTCCCAATTTTAAATCTTCTTAAAGATTAATGAAATTTTTTTATAAAAAGACAATTGTTTAGCCCTAGATACTTGGGTCATTTTTTTATTTTTTATTTTTTATTTTTAGTTTTACTCCTCTACATGATGGGAAATTATATTGAAAGACCCCAATGTTTACCCTAACCTATTGGTGTTTTGAATTCCTATTTTACCTTTCTACAATGCTCTAAAGGAGGGCCAAGCTTGTTCCCTTCTTTTCAGGATATTCATAATTAGGCCTGGCCCCTATATATATCATGGTACAATTGGGATATCATGTGTAGAGCCTTTCTATCAATAGTTTTGCAGTTATGGCCTACCATGTGGTTGAATTTTTTGACTGTGTAACTATTTTGAGGACACAATTTACATTAAGCCAGTAAAGTGACTAAAACTTTACTATGCAATATGGCCATCCCATCATTGATGTGGGACATATACATTTGATTGGTTTCTCTTTCTTATTTTATTTTATGACATACTTTACCAATTTGGTTGGTTTTTTTTTCTTTTATTGTCTTTTATACTTTAAAAAAAAGATACACCCCCCCTCCTCCTCCCCCTCCGGAAAACAAAAAAAAAGAAAAAAAAGAAAAAAGAAAAAAGAAAAAAAAAAAACCCAATTTGGAGTACTTATCTCGCGAAAAACATGTCAATAACAAAAATGATTGTATACAATGAGACTATTTATTTTTATTACAAATAAGTCACAATCACTCTTACTCATTAGATGTTAAATTGGATGGCTTGGGCTAGTCATGAAGTTCGAATTTTTTATTTTTGAACTTTTAGTATTTTCAATGATACTCTTACAATCATCCATATTGAGATCCAAGATACAAGAACAATTGTGATCTCCTTGTACAAAAAGCAAATGGTCTCTTTGTATATTTTACCATAACAAATATGAGGGAATAAGAAAATAGAAAAGCATACAATAAAGCCATTTACTTTTGATACAAGGTCAAAATCATAAGCAATTAGTTGATGTCAAATCGAGTAATTGGAGGTGTACCATTGATTAGGCACATAGTTTGACATTAAAATTATTAAACTTTATGACACACCTAAAGTTATTGGATGCATTTCACTATGGATGTCTAAGTGTAATTACGACCTCTTTGTACCAAAAGTGATATGCTCCTTATGCACATCAAGGATCGAGTTGCGGAGACCATGCAAGGTTGAGCTTGACTTGAGCTTGAACCACCTAGTTTGAGTATGGCTTGACTAAGATAGGTAAACTTCAGCTTGGCTTGGTCTAGTTTGTTTAGTTAAATAAGCCCATGAACAAGCTAAGTTCAAGCCAAGCAGTGCCTATAAACAAGTTAAGGGCCTGTTTGGATGCATCACTAAACAAATTTAACTCTAGTGTAGGGACATTAGTGAATGAAGTGATAAAGAAGATAATATAACAAACAATGAAATAGCCATATGACCGCTAAACACAAAATTCTATTCTAGGGAGTAGGCCCTAAAACTACATATTTTAGATGAGTTTTTAACTTGAGGCGAGGCCAATCCAAGATTAGATAATTTATTTCCTGGTGGTCAGAATACCCCTGACCATTAAGGTCAAAATCGAAAGGCTAGGAGTGTGCCATTGATAGGGTTCAAAAGTCTAAATCAATTTTAAGTTTGTGACAACCTCAATCTATTGGATTTGACATCTGACTCGTGACGTCCGTGTAAGAAAAAAAAAAAAGGTTTTGTGATGTGCAATCATTGTAATAAAAGAGTTAGCAAGCTTGGCTTATTATGGCTTATGTGTCACAAAATATTGATGAAGCTTGGCCAACCGATCTGGATTGGCTTGTTCACACCTCAAATGAACATTGTAGCAATACATATTTGTGTGCCTCAACATAACGTCCCACCCTCCATTCTCACGATTAATATATCAAAACAAATAAAAGAAAAAAAAAAAAAGGAAAACATAAATATATTTGTGCCATGAGTTCATGTTTGATCGATTAAATTCCAAGATACAAGCTATTGCATACTAGTCCTGTAGATATGAGTCCATTAACAATGTAAGGACCTCTATGATGATAGTGTTACCATTTTCATATGGATGTACTATCACTTTACCCCTGGTTATTTGGGCCACGTTAGGCTAGGGGTAGCAACACGTTGGGTCAGGCTGGACCTATCACCTGAACAAATAATGGGAATCACACTTGGACTCAAAGTTATAGGACCTCAACCCAGACACGATTGGATCTGGACCTGAATCCGGTCAGATTTGATGGGACCCGACCAAAATAATAAAAATAAATATACTTAAATATTATGTTAAATATATACATGTATTATTTAAATATTATAAATTTAAAATATATTTAAATATTAATTAAATAGTATTTATATAATAATCCTATTCGGGTCGGGTGCACATGGACCCAGGCCTAGACCCGAATAGTGTATAGGTCCAATACAGACCCAACTGTCAGGTCCAATTCTTGGACCCATACCCAGACCTGTTTCGGGTCTAGGTTCATTGCCACACCTACGTTAGGCTATGATTTATTTTGAAGTTTGTGGGTTGTGATGTATTCTAAAGAAACCTTGGGATTAAGGGCTTGTTTAGATAATAATTAAATTTTTTTGGAATAGACTACCTTATATTAAAATATTGTAATTTGGATAATATTATTTTGCAAGTTACTCGGTACATATTTTGTATTATATATAATATTATTTACTTATTTAATTTCTATTACGATTTTCAATTATTTTTAGCTATTTTTGGCAAGACAGACATGTACTTTTCAACAAATTACCTTAAATAAAGTAAAATAGCTTTCCAAAAGATAAATTTTTATATAAAACTGGCTATAAGTTTATCTCAAATAATTTTTATAATGAACATTGTCAACGAAAAAATAATAAATTATCACGATTAATTTTACAAAAATTTATTTTGAACTATTCCAACTCATGATCATGTCTTTAATAAGCTTTTTAAAATTAAATCATAATAAATAGGTAAGCGTTAAATAGTTAAGTAG